TTAGTGTCAAAGCAACAGAAAGGTCAAGCACAATAAAGCCTGACAACCTGAGAGGTAGTTTTAGTTGCACAGTAAGACTCAAAGCTGAAGGGTGAGAAGTTTAGGAATCAAAGGGATCTAAGAAATGAAAGCAAAGAATTTAGACAAAGCATTCTGGAGTTTAGGTGTGACACGGGGAGTCAAATATGGTGGTTCAGAGAAAGTGGGTGTTCTAAAGGGAGAGACTTGAATATGCCCAGGAAAAGGAACCACTGATGTCTTCTTCCTCAGGAGTGTGCAGAGGAGTGAAGAGTCAAGTCAGGAGCGCTGAGATGCTTCCCTTGTGACGAGAGGAGAAAGGAGGGGCAAGAAGCAGTTGAGTGTGCTTGGGAATGAGGGTGGTCAGGAAGGTGGGAAGTTTCTTTCTGATCGCTTTGATTGTCTTGTGAAGCAAAGAGTTCACTGTAAAAAGAGGATATTTACATGTTTCCTTATGTGTGTGTTTCTTTGACTTTCGAAGCAAAGGACAGCAGATTGAGGAACCTGATTCTCAAAGCCATGTTGAGTTCCATCTTCTGAGGAAAGCTCTAATTAGACATAACTACTGCTTTTCCAGGAGTAATTTGTAAAGGAGCCTCAAGTGCCAATGTTAAAATAAGACATAAGGGGCAGGGGAAATAGCTCGCAGGTGCAGCACCTGCTTGGCAAACGTGATGTCCTGAGTTTAATTCCCGGTACCAAAAAAAAAAAAAAATTCCACAAAATCAAACCTGAATATAACTGCTACTGTTAAAACCAGAAGTAGTATTGGGATATCACATTTATCCGTGTTACTGCTTTCAATATCAGTAAAATTTATCTTCAAAAATTTCCTGAAGTTCTCAAGACTCTAAAGCTTATTTAATTTTCTCTCCTCTTTTGTCCAGGTTGTTTCCTTTTTCTCCCTATTCCACTTTTTTTAAAAAAACACCAGCTATATTTTCTCCCATCCTGGTTTCAACAGGAAAGGCTATTTATACATTGAACACATTATAATCTACACAGAGCTTTCATGCATGCTGATTAGATCCTAAAACCATTCTATGAGTTGGTGAAAGAAGGCGTTTTGTTTTCAGTCTACAGACAAGGACGCTGCTATGGTTTAGGGATGTCTGCCCAAGGGTTCATGTGTTGGGAGCCTGGTCCTCAGTGCAGTGGTGGTGGGAGGTGGTGTAGAACCTTTAAGAGGTAAGATCTAGTGAGAAACATTAGGTCACCGAGGGTGCTGCTCTAGGGAGGAATTAATGTAGTTCTGGGGGAACCCGGTTAGTCCTCTGGAGAAGGTGGTTATAAAAGAGCAAGTCTGACACTCTCCAGTTTCACTCACTCCCTGCCCTGCCATTGATCTCTCCCTACAGTACATACTCCTGTCACTATGAAGTGATCTGCTATGAGGTCCTCACCTGAGCTGAGCTGATGCCAGCATTATGTCCTTAAACCTCCAAACCAGACAGTAAATAAACCCCACTTCTTTAGTCATTTCCCAGCTTTGGGTATTTCATTATAGTAACAAAAAGCAGACTAATACAGACATTAAGAGTCAGAAAAATTAAGGACTTGACCATTCATTGGAAGCATACACAGGACATAACCCTTGTGACTCCAAAACAGCTATTCTTTCCACCACATCACATTGCTTTTATAAAATGTCTGAAAACCAAAAAGGTGGCTCAAGTTCCTTCCAGCCTCAGATTAATCTCAAATCACAATTATTTAAAGTGAAAAAGTCTGTGCTACAATTTCAATTTTTTTTTTTTTTGCCTATTATTAACTGATCTCACCATCACTCTCCCATAATAAAGAACCTAAATACTTTTGAAGCACACACAGCTGAGGAAGTACATACAGTTCTAATCACAAGAAAAAATAATAGTGTTTTAGGTTTCTCTCTAACATGAAGAACCCAAGCAGTAAAGCCTTATATTCCCACTGAGCAAGCAAGAATAAAATCTGGCTACACTGCATCTATGAATATTAATTTCCTTCTCCTGCTATAACAAATTATCATAAACTTGATGGCTTAAAATAATAGAAATATATTATCTTATAGTTCTGGTGGTCAAGAGTTCAAATGAACCTTACTAGGCCAAAATCAAAATGTAGGCAAGGCTGCCTTCTTTCTAGAGGCTCTAGGGAAGAATCCATTTCCTTGTCTTTTCCGTTTTCTAAACGCTGCCTGCATTCCTTGGCTCAAGACCTGTGTCCAATAATTACATCACTCCACCTTCTCCCTCCACTGAAACATTTGCTGACTCTCCAGCCCTCCTCTTTCACATGGTCTCTCTTGTGTGAGAAACCTGAAGCAGGAATGAATTACATAGCCAAAGAGAAGACAGATAACTGAAGACAGGGAGATAGATCTTTTGCAGTTGGGAAGATGACCAAAGGTGAAGAAAAGAGAAAGGGGAAAGAGAGAGAGGACGAGACATTGTACGAACACCCCACAATGAATATAATCGTGTACTGTAAGCATATACTGATAAAAATTAAAATTGATGAAAGGACACTTGTCATTAATTACATTGGTCCCCAGTTCCAGCTCGAGTTCCAGCACGGCTCCAAGTCAAGGAAGAAAGAGAGGAGAAAGAACCTAGGGCTTTTTGCTGATGTGAGCCACCTCTTCATCCCTCGTTACCTTTCTTTTCTTTCATCCCCAAAGCTCTCACTTTCTCTCTTTCTATACATCGCCAGAGTTTACCTTAGTGGTCTGTCTTAGGGCTTCAAGTCTTCACATAGGAAGATTTCCATGTGTATCTTATTTACAGTAGTTAGGCATCATTACACAGTCATTCCTCATTTAAAAAATCAACTTTTCAGTACAGAAAAGGCAAACCAATACACAAAATCTAATCTAATGGCCAGTAACTCAGGTAATATTCATGAAAACTATTAATTTTTAAGAGAAAGTTTTCTATCATATCCTGTGCTATTCTAACATAAGTTTACTGTTTAAATTTTTATCTTCCTTAAGTAACTACCGGATATGAAGGATTGCTCCCACTAATATACTAGAAATACAAAATTCCACAACCACATACTCAAAGCTTCCCACAAATAAAAGGAACTATGTAAAGGCAATCAGGCAATGCATCTGAACATGCAAGACTAAGCAATGTTTACAAAAATCATCTCTATTTTATCACTATAAGAAAATAACACAAATTCAAAAGACAAAGAGTCCTTTTTACACATCATTTATGTACCCGATGTTCTAGCCACATCAAAACATGTTAAGAACTTGCCCCTTTTAAGTGTACAACTTTATTTTCTTATAAAATCTGTATTATAAACACTATCACAGATGCCAAACCTTAGGAGTAAGGTAACAGAAAAAAATTGGCATTAATATCAATCCTACAAAACTTTCAGTAAGCTGTCAATATTAACTTTTAAATCCTTTTCCAACAGAACAACTCATTGTTTGAAATTCTATAGCTTTTCACATTTTTTTCCTTTGCAAAGGAGAGAGAGAGACACAGAGAGAGAGACAGACAGACAGACAGACAGTCTACTTAGCTTTAGCAAGTCTACCTAGGCAAGGTCTGAAATACTAAGATCCAAAAACTGTATTTTTCCGTGCTAGGAAAAAATATTATTTATGAAATATGAATATAATTTAAGGTGTCTTCTATAGCCTTCAATTTAATCTTTTGGAACAGATTACAGTCCTACTACAGTGGCTTGTGGACTGTATGGAACTTCTGAATGTTTCATTTCTCTGAAGTGTTCACTAATGACTACTTGACTTAGAAAAGCTATTCCTTTGTGTAGAAATCTATCCAACATGCCCAGTTTTTATTCCTCTCTTGTGAAATCTTCCTGTGAAATAGATTAAATAGAAATCACAAGTTACCACCATCAACAGCATTCCATGCGTCTAATCTTTTCTCATGCTAGCACATTCCTGAGGCCAGGCCACAGAGACACCATTCAAAAAATCATTCTTCCTTGCTGACTGAATACACTGCAAATAACCCAATGGAGGCTGGGAGAACTGATGAAGGAAGAGGAAGAACATTTTTATTTCAACAGCAGTGGCACAGGATGAAAAATAAAAGGCAGTTAAATAGAGTGAGTATAAGGAAAGTATATGAGCACTTTGCTAGTAAGGGAGGGTTTATCTGAGTTTAAGGTTTTTCTTGGACTAAACCAAGAGTCACATTAACGAATATCTCTTCATCCTTCAAAATCATCACCTCCAAAGTCTTTCCACTGTGGCAAATTTCTTAATATTTCTACCATCCAATATACAGGAAGGCCTTTCCAAGTTAACCCTTGTGAATAACAGACATCAGAACAAAATGCCCCGTGGCCTTTACTACTCTTGCATCACTAAGTTCATATATGAAAACCCCTGCTTATTTTCTTTATTTTAAAGAAAAAAGAACAAAAACAAAGACAAAAATACAACAACACAAAAATAATAAAAAAAAAATGCAGAATTTAAAAAAAAGATGATAGGAAATTAACAACGGTTGTTGTATTACATATTGTTATCTTCAAAGTAGTTGCTCAGATTACCAGAAACAGGCATGCAAGATTGGTCAAACAATTAAGCATGGGCACCTACTTGTTATTTTATAACAGCTCAAACCACTTTTCAAACTTAATAAGCACTTTTTTACACCGTATCTTTTCTTTATTTTCTTTCTTAAAAGGCAATAATTCAAGAGCTAACCACTCTTCTCAGAACACAGTAGACAATTATCCACTCCTATCACCAGCACAAATGGAAGGCACACCCTATGATACAGCTGCAAAAATGGAAGCCACTTTAGCTACCTGCAAAGATGACTACACACAAAGAAGGTGTGAATCCAGCAACTCCATAGACTTCCAGCGGAAGAGGGGAAAAAGCAAAGAAATTATGAGGGAAAAATATGTTTAAGGTGTTCAAAGCTACAAATAAAACCACCCAGAAAGGCCAGAGATAGAGGGAAATTTATAACCAGAAAACGTTAGTATGAAGTCCTTGTACTCACCGTCTGATGGCTTCTGTCACAGAAACGCAGCCCAAAATAATCTATCTCCACAAGGTTTATGTGACGGAATACATGGTCAAGGACAATGGAACCTTTTGTTGACTTCTGCAAAAATAATTCACAGTTTTTCTTTTTAAACAAGGCATCTTGTCTTATGTCTCAGTAGGATACAATCATGCTTCTCATCTTTTACTAGCTTCCCTCACTGTGACTGCAGTTTTATTAGACCATGAAAACTTCCTTAGGTTTTGCCTCAATTACAAAGACAAATGGGATTTAAAGTTAAGTGTATTAAAGAAACTGCTCTGGAAAATAATTCTTAAATTGTAGCACATGTTAAATTAATATAAGCTTCTTTTCTTATGGGATTATAATTATCTTCAGTACAAAATTCTTTCAAATAAAGATAATCTTTTATATGAAAAATATCTAATAAACTCATCAAACACCACTTTGGTTTAAAATCCTATAATTCTTTTATTTTACAAAGCAATTTTCATCCTGTATCATTACTCTAACAAGGATCTAATACAAAATTAACAATAGCCAAAGCTTTTGTTTTTAAATTGTTAAATAATAAACCCACAGAATAAAGCTGCTAAAATTGATGTTCTGAAAAGTTCTTGCAATATTTTACTTGATCTTTTTCACATAAGCACAGACATAAAGAAAACATTTCTTTTGGCTGCTTTAAAAATCCTGATACCTACCTGACACACTAGTCTGTCTTCTTTTCCCTCCCCCTACATACACAGATTAGATTCTTCAAGATCCTTGCTTAAGGACAAGATCCTTGCCTTGGGTTCAATTCCCAGAACAACAATAACAACAACTAAACAAACAAAATTCTTTCATCTGACATATTAAATAACAATTATTCATACGTTTAAGAAACAACCAGCAAATTCTACTCCACATACCGGAAGACCCTGAAACTGATTCACTGATCCATGACACAGCTGCACAATCAGTTAGACCTTCCCTTTATACTCCCCAATCACTAGTAGGTAGCAAAGTTCCCAAATCATGTGTTATGGCAATAAAATGTAATGACTCTTTGGGCTTTCAGTGGTCCTAGGGAGGAATGATGGCAAGAATGAGGAAAAGACAGACAATAGACAAGAGCTGGGTCAGGTGGAGGTGTCTCTCCGGATAGGAGGAGAACAGAACAACAGTAGGAGTGTTTATTTATACTTTGGCAAAGTTAGTATCATGAGACACAAGGTTGCCTAGTCACTAATGACTGAAAGCCTAGGCAGGATGTCCTTCTCAAGACTGAAGGAGCTTGACTGCTTTAGGTATTCTGGCTCTGTCCTGCCCCGACACATACGCCCAATCTCCAGCTTCAGCTGCCCCCTAAAATGAAATTGGGCTTTTGTCCAACTGCATCTTCCCTCAGAGAATTACCATTATGTGCTTATGCATACAAGGTGAGTACTCAATGCTAGAACTGCTTTTAGAATATGTACTGCTAACTTAAGGGAAATGTTTTGGTTAAACGTATTATAAAATGATGTGAGGTGGTCAAAGTATACACTTAAAGAAGATACTTCTTGTTACAAATCCCATAGGTATTTTGCTTTCCTCTAGATTACATAAGTTAATCAGTTCCTTTTTCAAAATTCATTACACAACTTATTTAAAACAAACACACCCTTCCATGATAGACCTCTACATAGATGGATATTTTCTGCTACAATAGTAATGCTTTGTGGTGCTCATGTACCTGTGTATTTCCCCTGGGTAAAAATCTGGAAGTGAAATCACTCATTGGAAGCATACAAATAACTTAATATTACAGTGGACACTGCCAAAAAGACCATTACATTTCATTCAGTGAAAATACATGTCCCCTCTCACCTTGCCAACACTCAGATTGAGAAAATTTTTTCCAATCTGATTAATGAGTAAGAAAAGGATTTTTGTTTACATTTTCCTGACTCTCCTAAAAGTAAACGCTCATCCATGTACTGACTAGCTAGCTAATCACATTTTCTAGTGTTTGGGCTAGGCATTCTCTAACCCAAAGTTTATCAGCAAATTCTCCTAGAACTTCTAATACTTGTGCAGTTTTACTTATTTAGCTCTTCACTCCATCTGGAAATTATTTTTGTGCTTGGGAAAAGGCCTAACTTAGTTTCCAAATGGATTGATAATTGCACCACCACTTACTGAAAAGGCCATCATTTCCATTTTGATTTAAAACAGCTATATCATCTGCTAACTACCCAGTCCTATCCAACGGATTCATTCAGGAACAAAACTCCCAATATTTTAATGAGTTTAACATAATTTGATTTTCATTGTTCCTTTTCAAAATTGCCTGTGCCAGTTCTTAGACATGTTTTTCTACTAGAGGTTTAGAATCAACTTGGCAATTTAAATCACAATTCTGTTGGGAATTTGAAATTAAACTGAAATGACAAGCTGGATGACTGGTGAAACGGGGGATGGATGATACGATATTTGCCACATTAAATTTTTATGATTTTCTTTTATATACTTCAAGGACATTTTATATGTTTTTTTCACATAGGCCTCATAAAATTCTTCTTAGGCTTTATGGCAGGCAAAATGTACAAAATAGCCTCCCCCACTGTTGTGATTTGTGTCTAGATGTCCCTCCAAATCCTCATTCAGTGCTAGGCGGGGCTTTTCAGAGGTGACTGGATTTAGAGTGTGTGATGCTGGGATTAAGTGCGGGATGCTGGGATTAAGTGCGTGATGCTGAGATTAAGGATGTGTGATCACTAACTTAGTCCACTGATTGGTTTGGCACAGTGCTAAGTGTGGATAATGGGAAGGCCCACCCTGGATGTGAATGCTATAGGCCCTAAGGGCAAGGACCCTAGACAGAGTATAAGGGACAGAGGGCTGTTGTCACTTATTCACTTGCTGCTTTGCTATCTTCTGCCTGCCACAAACTGCTTCTCCTCTGCAATGCCCCTCTGCCATGCCACCCAGCCTTGGAGCCAGCCAATTAGGGACTGAAACCTCTACAAACAGTGAGCTACAATAAACCTTTCCTCCTTTAACTTTGGGTATCAGGTATTTTGTCTCAGCAAGTAGAAAAAGGTAACTAAGACACCCACCAAAGAAGTCCTGCCCCCATCTCAGGAACCCATGAATTTGAAGAGTTACCATTCAAGCAGTTGTGCTTTATATTCCACTCCGTTGACCTTCAGATAGGGAGATTATCAGAGTGCGCCTAATCTAACCACACAGGCTCCAAAATGCACACACTTTCTCCAGCAGAAAGGGAAGACAAAAGGATCAAAGATGTCCTGAGTTTGAGAAGGACTTCACATGTCCTTGCCACTTGAAACGATGGAGTAGACATCCAAGAAGCAATATGAGCAGCCTCAAGGAACGGGGGTTAGCCCCTAGCTGACAGCCAGCAGGGGAAGGAAAATGCAGCCCCATTCACAACAATGAGATTCTGCCAACTACCTGAAATAGGCCGCAGATTGCTGAGGAAGCAGATTGTTCCCCAGAGTCTTCAGATGTGCAAACCAACACCTTGACCTCAGCCCTCGAGAACAACTGTCTGAGCGAGAACCCATTCACATCCATCTGGATTTCTGGCCTACAGAGCTGTGAGGCAGCAAACAAGGAATGTTTAAGCCACTGTGTGGGGGGCAATTTGTTATGCAGCAGTGAAAAACTAATACAGGCTTATTCACAGATACCTTGTAGGTTTATTGTACTCTGATTGGCTATTGCTAATGTATTAAAAAGCAACTACTTTTTCCAACATTGGCTTTATTCCCTCCAATTTGCTAAATTCTTATTAGTTAAAATAGAGATCACATTTGTTTTAAATAATAAGAGTTCTAGTTCTTCTTTTTCAAAATGCCTTCCCACATTTTTTTCTGTTTTCTTACTGCACTGGCTGGGTCAGTGAAGGGTCACTGGTAGTTGTGAGAATGTCCTTCTCTTCCAGGCCTTAATGAAATGGCTTCTTCCTTTGCTAGCAGACCAAGAGATGGGGGAGTGGGGCAGTAAACAAAGAGTTAAGATGTGTTACATACAGTGCCAACTCCCCACAACTGATGTGGTCGTTATGGGCTGCAAACATGTACTAATAAATTTTCAACGTTTTTACCACTAGCTATTGCACAGCCTTGATATATACCCTCTATCAAAGAGAAGGCCCCTTTTTGCTATTTTCATGGTCTTTTGTTTGGTTTGGTTTTTAAGGAAGAATGGGAGACAATTCTATCAACTTTTTTTTTAAAGATCTTAATATATGAGTTTTGTCTTTTCCTCTATGGGTTACATTAAAAGTTTTTAATTTCAAAATCTCTTTTAAAAGGGGCTCCCATTTGGGTTCTTTAGTTCTGGGTATATAATATCAAAGCCCCTTTGGACATGGAGAGCACTGCCTTCTTGGCAGAGGCAAGAACCAGGCTCCCCAACACCTGACAGCTAGGCTACCAGCACAGGACTGGTTTTGGCCAAGAACTTTGACTTGTGAACAAGGGATGCACAGATGCAGGAAGAGTTTAGCAGTTATTCAGGGGGGCCAGGGATATAGCTCAGAGGTATAACCATTTGCCTGGCAAGCCTGAGGTCATGAGTTCAATTTCCGGTACCAATAAATAAATAAATAAATAAATATTCATTATATGAGTTTTGCTGGGGATATAGCTCAGTGGCACAAGCGCCTGCCTGGCAAGTGCAAGGTCCTGAGTTCAATTCCTGATACCAAAAAAAAAAAAAAAAAAAAAAGAAGAAGTTATTCAGGGCAGGGGCTCCCAGTGGCAGGCCAGCATCCAAAAGTAGAGGCACCTAGTTGTGGACTCAGGTGAGGACTGGCATCTGATTCTGAGCAAGATTTTCCAGCACTCTTGAGGCAGCCAATAGGAAAAGACAGCCCAGAACATGTTTCCCCTGCCCTATGACAGCAATGATGTTTGACCCTAGAGCTATGCAAGTGTTCCAAGTAAAAATCCTAAATAAGAAATAAAAAATTTGGCCCAATGGTACATTAAAAATGAGTATAAACAGTTTCTTCTAGAAAAATGAGTACACTAGCAGAGTTCTGAAAGCTGATTTCTGATTAATGTCACTCTGAAAATAATTTACTAGAAAGACACTGTGTG